TAAAAATTGTAATAATTAAAGTTATTCTTCATGATAAATCTTATAATATTCTATTATAATTAATATTACTAAAAGTAAATGTTAATAAAATTGTCAAAGGTCAAAAATAAAATTTTTTAATTTAAAAATTACAAATATTTAGCTTATAAGTAACCTTAAATTATTTATTATATAATTAAAAAATAAAAGTTATTATATTATTATATATATTTATAAATTAATTTAAAAAAAAAAATTTTATAAAAATTTTAATTTTTCGTAAAAGTAAATCAGAAGGGAATTTATAGTAAATAAACAGGCAAATTTACCTGTAAAACCCTATAGTTTAAGTGATAATTAAGAGATTATTAATTATTTACAGTAAACCTTTTTTGAAAGTATTAATTTTTAGCTTTTTATATTAATTTAAAGCTAAAAATGTAAATAAAATATGATTAAATTCTAATAATATGATAATTTAAATTGATTATAATATTTGAGAATGCCTTTATTTAAGTATTAAAATATTGAAAATATGAAATATTAAATAAAATTATAAATAAATTATATATTTTTATTTAAGAAATAATAAAATATTATATAAATCTGTGAAAAACTAAACAATACCCTATTTCTAAAAAGAAAAGGATTAAGATCTGGACTTGGCAATTATTCATCAATTTTCATTAAACTCAAAAGAAAAATAAAAGTTAGCATATTTCTATAGTTCCGTTATTTTTCGTGAAAGCTTCTTGGCCTTTAAGGCGCTTCACAAGAGAAAAACTAAAGTCATTTATTTATTAATTGATTTTCACTAATAATCGTTACAATTTTTCAAAGATTTTCATTTCTATAAAGTGAAATAAATGTGAACAGTTCACCCTTGCGTTCTACCTACTTTGTCGCTTAACGGTATTATTCGAAACTAATCTCTTAGCTAGTGTAGATCATCTCATTCAGCATGAATATTTTGCCATTCTGAGAATTAACGTAAATTTTAGAATATAGACATTTTTTAAAGTAAATAACATTTTTAAGTAATAGTTGTTCTTTTTAGAGATTATTAATCTTTAATCAAGAATTCATATTTAAAATTACTTGAAGTATCTTTTGTAAATTTTTATTGCTTGAATCCATTCAAAGATTTATTTTTTTTTTTCAATAATTTGATCAGTTAAAATAAGTAGAACAACACATCAATTAGTTGATATTCCTTTAATATCTATTGAAATTGCAAATTTACCTATGAAAATTATTAATTAATAAATCAATTGTTAAAACTTCTAAAAAAAAATAAAATAAAATAAAATAAATCCATTTACATACCGGAGCAGTGAATTCAGTAATATTAGATGAGAATGGATCTGGACCTAAATATTCACTATTAACATACTCATCGGAATTCAAATCATAAGCAATTACATTATAATCTAAAGATTCACTTATTGTTGGATCTATTTCGTAATTGTCCAATAAACAGTTAAATTTATCCACATTTTCAACATTATTTTCCAATTGATTACGTATCATGTCTGTTACTTCGGGAGGATTTTTAAATAATTCTCTTGCAGCATTAATTTCATCAAGGTAATCAGGAGCTACTAAATATCTTTCTGATTCAAGATTTGGTACAATATTTTCAATAGAACCATGTTTTTTAATTAATTTGAAAGCTGTTATAGGACCGATATTACGAATAGTTCCAGCAAAATCAGTTCCGCATAAAATACATAAATCAATATATTGTTCATGGGATAATTCCAATGACTTTTTTGCTTCAGCAGGTGAAATTTCTAGAATTGGTTTATTCTTTTGAAAAAATTGTCTTAATAAAACTCCATTTCCAAATATGGTTACGTCCATATCTTCCGATACTGTAGCATCTGCCAACCCATGAGAAACAAATGATGCGCACATAGCTTCCGCCTCGTGTCCATTTAACGTTATACAAGGAACTCCCCATGTTCTAATGAAATTAATAGACTCTAAATACATATCCCATGTAACAGGAATTACGCGTTTCTCATATGTTACTGTCAAATTATGACTTTCTGCTTCGAACGTTTCTGCTAAATGTCCTGAAGTTTTATTTCTTGATATAACAGAATCAATAAGTAAATGTTCCACAACTCCTACTTCACGTTGAGCTTTTGTAAAACTTTTATCTGTTGCTAATTTGGTTGTATCTTGAAGAGCCTTCTTTATGATTTGTTCCATATCTTCTTTTAATTTCATATCATCTTTTGAAGGTTCGAAATCTGGGTGTGAATCTTTGAATTTTTTTTCATCTTTAAGATTTGCTATTTTCATCATCATAGGTTCGTTAATTAAAGGTACTGCTAGTTTAATCTCAGGAATCTTTTCTTCTTTGACAACTTTTATCAACTTTTCATCTTTCCTTTTAATGTCTTTGATATTTGTTTTAATCTCGACGACCTTTTCTTTTATAATAGATTTATCGATTGACTTTGGTTTATTATGTTCTAACTTCATAGCTTTCCCAACATGTATTACAAGTGCAATCATCCCTTGCAATGACAATTGTACAATGTCATGTGTCGTCTTTATAGCTGGAGATGCGATAATTTCTTCACGCCCATCTCTTTTAATCGGAGACGGTAGTGTTGTTATTTCGGTAGAAGTTGAAGGTAGTGATAATATTTTTTCAACAACTTGTTTAACGCCAGAAGTAACATATTGAGATTTAGTTTCTTCCAAATTATCTAATTTTTCAACAACAACTTTCCATTTATCTACTCTGGCTTTTCTATTTTTTTCAAAATTCCATTTTTGTAATAATTTTTCTGATGAAATTTTACGTTTAGCAAGTTCTTTGCGTTTTTCTTTTATCCTTTCTCTGCCATCAAATATAAATATTGGTTTGATATTATATTTTTTTAAAAATAATGTTAATTTATAAAATCCATGAATATGAGGATGTGGTATTTCATAAGAAACATTGTCAATGCAGACATGGCGATACCCGTATACGAATTTACGTAAAAATATACTAGCATCTATAACTAATGTTTTATTTTGATAATCCTGTATTGTTTTTGGCTTAAGTGAATCAGGTGCATATCGTTGTAATAATTTTGTCAAATTTTTAACTCCCATTTTAAAGAAAAAATTTGTAAAGAGAAAAAAAGAAGTACGCGTTTGATGATTTATTTTATGCTGTCTAATTATGCATAAATTCAATTATAGTAAAAATTTATGAACTAAATTACCTTAATAGTGATTTGCATTTACTCAATTACATATAAAATTGATTATATAATAAAAATACAACATTACGGGTACTTTTTGTAAATGAGTTGTAGTTTAAAATGACTAACATTAAAAAAAAAATTACTTCTTTATTGTATTTTACGAATTGATGAATTTCTATGTTATTAATAAAATATTCAATATTCACATTTTTTTATAAATAAAAGAGCAGTACAGTTTAGCTAATTGTACAGTACAGTTTATATGTATACCCTTATATTTAATTGATTAACTTATAAAATATAATTAATTATTTATTATCATTCTTTTATTTATAATATCTTTTTTATATAATATTAAACTTGCATTATTATCATAATCTCTATTAGAAAATCTATTATCAAAATATCTAAGACTAACATATTAGATTCTTATTATTATTAGTTAATAAAGATAATAAAATATTATCATTTTTAAAATTTTTTAGCTTTTTTATTAATTTATTTAATCTTTAATTTTTGTTATAAAAATGTTATACCTAAGGCTACTTATCCTATTTGGAATTTAATAAAATGTTTAACCTTTTAATTTTGCTAATTTTTTACTAAAGTTTTGATATAATTTTACTATTTTATAAATTTTAATATAATTTTACCTTTTTTTTGAATTCATAAATTTTTTAATAAGACTTAATATTATTACGATCAATTCTTTAATATGCTTAGAAGTGGTAAGTAAAGCAATGTTTTGTAGTAGTAAACAGAAAGTTTATTTTATAATTAGTTTTAAAAAAATGTCAATTAATTAACAGTTTATTTATTAATGATAACAATAGAGTACCGCCTCAATTAATATTCTGTACTATACAAATATGTTAAGGGAATTAAACTAAACTATTTAATAAAATTATGAATCAGACATATCGCTAAGCTAAAAGAAAATATCTTCTATTTATATAAAATTAAATACATAAAGTTATTGAAGATATAAAAGAAATAAATAAAATATATAAAATAAATATAATATAAAAAATATATAAAATAAATAAAATAAAATAAATAAAAGAAATATATTATATAAAAGAAATATATGTTATAGATGATATAGAAAACATATAAGATATATATGATTTCTTAGAGATTGACGTTATCCTTTTAATCATTATCATCTATGTCTTCTTTTGTGTAATAATATATTTTGATAAATATTACCTTTTATCATTTATATATTTTTTT